TATTACTCACTGGCACCCGTGATCGCCAAGTATTACCAATGGGGGAAAGAACTGTATAAAAACAATACAGTTCTCTCCCCTGTCAGCTCCAGCACATTGCTATGTATGGCTATGGATAGCAAAGCCATGCAAAGCAGAGTGCCTACAGTGAAGCGCACACACACAGCACATAGTGAAACAGCACACAGCACACAGTTAACCCTTTGATCAACCCAGATGTTAACCCCTTCCTGCCCAGTGCCATTAGTACAGTGTCAGTGCTTTTTATTAGCACTGATCACTATATTAACGTCACTAGGAATGTCACTGACACCAAGTCAGTTCCCCCGCAGTTTCAGAATGGCTGTCGCAGTCCTGCTATAAGTTGCTGATTGCCGCCATTACTAGTAAAAAAAAAATTCCTGTATCTATACCACCATTTGTAAACGCTATAACCCTCACATAAAACCAATTAATTTACACGTATTGGGATTTTTATTTAGCAAAGACATGTCTCAGAATACATTGTGCCCTAAGTTTATGACTAAATTTGATTTGAAATTTTTTTTTATTGGACATGTTTAATAGCAATAATTCAAAAACTTTGTTTTTTTCTCAAAATCATCGGTCTTTTTTGTTTATAGCGCAAAAAAAATAAAAAACACACAAGCGATCAAATCCCACCAAAAGAAAACTCTGTTTATGGGAAAAAAAGAACGTAAATTTAATTTGGGTGCAGCGTTGCATGACCGCTCAATTGTCAGTTAACCACTTGCCCTCCTGAGGATTTACCCCCCTTCCTGACCAGGCCATTTTTTTCGTTATGACGCAGCATTACTTTAACCGACAATTGCGCGGTCATGCAATGCTGCACCCAAATGAAATTTGCATCCTTTTTTCCCAAGAATTGTGCTTTCTTTTGGTGGTCTTTGATCACCTGTGTGGTTTTTATTTTTGAGCTATCAAAAAAAAAAATGACCAACAATTTTGAGAAAAAAACAAATATTTTGGACTGCGGTGGGCATCCTGATACTGGGGGAACTGATTTGGTGTCACTGACATCCCCAGTGACACCAATACAGTGATCAGTGCTAAAAAAAAGCACTGACACTGTACTAATGGCCCTGGGCAGGAAGGGGTTAACGTGAGGGGTGATAGAAGGGTTAACTGTGTGCAGAGAGTGTTTTACTATTCTGTGCACAGCCATCCAAAGCAGTGTGCCAGAGATGACAGGGAGGAGAATTGTTAGTAAACAAAAACAGTCTTCCTCTGTGTTGGAGATCCTTGAAAACCAGGGCCAGGGCACGGTGATTGACAGCTGCGACAGCGAATGGTGGCGTGGGTGGGGCGTGCGCCCAATACCCGGAAATGCAAAATCATGTATATATACATACAGTTTTGTTCAAAATAATAGCAGTCAGACAACACTAACCTGACCAATCACTGTTTTTGGTAGAATGATATTTCTACATGGCAAATAATTTACTAGGAGGTGTAGTAGAGTAATACAGATCAAACAGCCCAACAGTCATGACATGCATGCTGCTGATTCTGTGTAATTGAATCACTAATTGAAAGGGGCATGTTCAAAATAATAGCAGTGTGGAGTTCTATTAGTGAGGTCATTCATTCTTTGAAAAACAGGTGGCAATTATTGCCCTTATTTAATGAAGGAAGGCAGCAAATGTTGTACATGCTGGTTACAGTGCATTTCTCTCTGAAATTCTGAGGAAAATGGGTCGTTCCAGACATTGTTCAGAAGAACAGCGTACCTTGATTAAATAGTTGATTGGAGAGGGGAAAACATATAAAGAAGTGCAGAAAAATGATAGGCTGCTCAGCTAAAATGATCGCAAATGCTTTAAAATGGCAACCAAATCCTGAAAGACGTGGAAGAAAGCAAAAAACTACCATTCGAATGGATAGAAGAATAGCCAAAATGGCAAGGACTCAGCCAACAATCAGCTGCAGGAAGATGAAAGAAGGTGTAAAGTTCCCTGTGAGTACTGTTACAATTAGAAGACGCCTATGTGAAGCCAAGCTATCTGCAAGAAGCCCCCGCAAAGTCCCACTGTTGAAAAAAAGACGTGCTGAAGAGGTTACAATTTGCCAAAGAGCATATTGACTGGCCTAAAGAGAAATGGCACAACATTTTGTGGACTGATGAAAGTAAGATTGTTCTTTTTGGGTCTAGTGGCCAGAGACGGTTTGTCAGACGACCCCCAAACACTGAATTCAAGCCACATTACACTGTGAAGACAGTGAAGCATGGTGGTGCAAGCATCATGATATGGGGATGTTTCTCATACTACGGTGTTGGGCCTATTTATCACATACCAGGGATCATGGATCAGTTTGAATACATCAGAATACTTGAAGAGGTCATGCTGCCTTATGCTGAAGAGGAAATGCCCTTGAAATGGGTGTTCCAACAAGACAACGACCCCAAACACACCAGTTAACGTGCAACATCTTGGTTCCAGACCAACAAGATTGACGTTATGGAGTGGCCAGCCCAATCCCCGGATCTTAATCCAATAGAAAACTTGTGGGGTGACATCAAAAATGCAGTTTCTGAGGCAAAACCAAGAAATAGAGAAGAACTGTGGAATGTAGTCCAATCATCCTGGGCTGGAATACCTGATCACAGGGGCCAGAAGTTGGTTGACTCCATGCAACACAGATGTACAGCAGTTCTCAGAAACAGTGCGACTACAACCAAATATTCATTAAGTGATTCAAAGGAAAGCAAAATCTTCAAACATTTTTCAGTTTATATAGTGAATGTTTGAGTTTGTAAAGAAGAATACAAACACTGCTATTTTTTTGAACCGTCTAATATTCACTTTTCTTCAATTTTTTTAGAGGAACAACACAAATTTGATCTATTTTTCTTCATGTTTTGATATGGAATAGAATGTGTAGTGTTCCCAATGCATTTGTGTGTATGGAAATAAAAGCTATTAGAAGGATTTTGAGCTTTATTCACTTTTTTCAACACACTGCTATTATTTTTGAACACAACTGTATGTGATTTTTGCGCACCACTGCTGCCCTGTGGCAGTATTTTTGCTATAGGGTGGCGGTAAAGCGGTTAAAGTAACGCAGCACCGTAACGCAAAAAATGGCCTAGTCAGGAAGGGTGGTAAACCCTGTGGAGGGCAAGTGGTTAACGATAGTGATCAGATGAAGCCATTTATTATCGCATGGTTGTTTGACTCCTTTTTAAATCCTAATTATAACAGAAATCACCCAAATGGCCCTGATCAAAAGTTTCCCTCCCCTGGAATGTTTGGCCTTGGTACAGACACACAAGGTGACACACACGGTTTAAAATGCCAATTAATGATTAATTTCCCACATCTGTGGCTTTTTAAATTGCAATCAGAATCTGTGTATAAATAGTCAATGCGTTTGTTAGTGCTGACATCAGTACACTGAGCAGGAAGATACTGAGCCATGGGGAGAAGAAAAGAATAGTCAAAAGTCCTGCGTAACATGGTAGTCGAAATTTATAAAGATGGAAAAGGATATAAAAAGATATCCAAAGCCTTGAATTTACCACTCAGTTCTGTTCAATCACTTATTAAGAAGTGGAAAGTTTGGAGATCTCTTGATACCAAGCCAAGGTCAGGTAGACCTAAAAAAACAGACACAACTGCTAGAAGAATTTTTCAGGATACAAAGAAAAACCCACAGGTAACTTCAGGAGAAATACAGGCTGCATGGTTTAGTTGACAGAAAGAAGCCTTTACTGCATAAATGCCTCAAAAAAAACCCGGTTACAATATGTCCGACAACACCCTGACACGCCTCAATGGGCTTTTTACTTAGCTTAGTTATTTTTGATACACCACGTGTGTCCTGTAAAATCAGCTTCCCTTTGACTGATATTCTAGTGCCCTTTTTTCTTTTGTCCTATTACATCTGCTGCAGGGACAGCGTTGACTTAGTGAGTTGGCATATATTTTTACCGTTTTAAACCATTTTACCTCTTTATTAGCAATAAAAACTGACAGGGGTTCTATTCCTTCACCTCTGTATCCATTGTTCTGTGTCTCCAATCTAAGCATTGAAAGTGTGATTTCTATAATTCACAGTTGTGATGAGATAGTGATAACTCCAATCTTAGTTGAATATCCCAGGCAGTGACTCAATACAAAAGACATCTTGTAGATCTTGTGAAGTTTATTCCATAAACTGTGAGACTCTTACAACAATGAACATCAGATAGGTCAAAAGATCATAATGTGACCTGCTTCATGACATGAGGCTAGAAACTGCAATGCATTACTGGGAAAAGGGGATGGGCTTTCTATACAGCAGGAACTAAACCAGAGGAAAGGGAGGAGCAGAGATAAAATATAGAGAACACTTAAAGGCATATGACAGTCATGTGAAACATGACACTCCCCGTCGAAATCTATGATTTCTATTATAACAAATTTTAGTTCAAGTACAATATAAATAATGAAGATTCTTTTGAGGAACGTCAGACAAGAGGGAAGGGAAGAACAAAGGAAAACAATGCAAACATTTAGCATAATACTTGCAGATGTTGGTATTGAAAATCCAGGCTGAGACATGGAACTCCATATTCAGAGGGGAAGGCAGCAACATGCACATTCCTTCTTACCTCTCTTTAACTAGCTGCCGACCGCAGATAGCCGAATGACGGCTGCACTGCGGCCGGCCAGTTCTGGGTGGACGTCATATGACGTCCTCCCAGAACGCGCTCTCCTGCGCGCCCCAGGGGGCGCGCACCCGGCGATCTCCGTGATCGCTGTGTCCTACGGACACAGCTGATCACGTGATGTGGTAATAGGCTAATCACAGCGGCCTTTTACCCTGTGATCAGCGGTGTCCAATGACACGCTGATCAGAGGGAAATGCAAGTGCCGGTTCTCGGCTGCACTTTTCTCACGCTGTCAGATCATGAGGAAAGTACTGCCGAGAACCGGCAGTTGTCAGAGCGGGAATTGGCACCGATCATCAGGGCACTGATGATCAGTGCCCTGATGATCGGTGCCCAGCAGTGTCATCCGTAAGTTCTGCCCACCAGTGCCCAGCAGTGCGCCCACTAGCTCCGCCCACCTGTGCCCAGCAGATCACCCACCTGTGCCCAGCAGTGTACCCACCTGTGCCCAGCAGTGCACCCACCTGTGCCACTCTGCAGTGTCACACACCTGTGCCCAGAAGTGCCACCTACCTATGCCCAGCAGTGCCACCCACCTGTGCCCACCCACCTGTGCCCACCAGTGCCACCCACCTGTGCCCACCCACCAGTGCTGCCCACCAGTGCCACCCACCAGTGCAGCCCAGCAGTGCTGCCAGTCAGTGCCACCAGTCAGTGCCCAGGGGTTGTGCCAGTCAGTGCCGCCAGTCAGTGCCCAGCAGTGATGCCAGTCAGTGCCGTCTATCAGTACCCATCATCAGTGTCACCTATCAGTGCCGCCTATCAGTGTTGCATATTAGTGCCGTCTATCCGTGACACCTCATTAGTGCTGTCTATCAGTGCCGCCTATCCGTGCCACCTCATTAGTACTGCCTATCAGTGCCCATCAGTGCTGCCTATCAGTGCCCATCAGTGCTGCCTATCAGTGCCCATCAGTGCTGCCTCATCAACGCACATCAGTGAAGGAGAAAAAATACCTGTTTGAAAAATTTTATAATAGAAACAAAGAAACTTTTTTTTTTTTTTCACATTTTTTTTTTGCACTTTTTTTATTTATAGCGCAAAATGTAAAGCGCCCAGTGGCAATTAAATACCAACCACCAAAAGAAAGCTCTATTTGTGAGAAAAAAATGATCAAAATTTCATATGGGTACAATGTTGCATGACCGCGCAATTGTCAATCAAAGTGCGGCAGCGCTGAAAGCTGAAAATTGGCCTGGTAAATAAGAGGGTATAAGTGCCTGGTAGGCAAGTGGTTAAATCAGGTTGATGACTTGTCTTCCTCTTTGGGCAAAAGAAATACTAGTTCCTTTATAGCCCTGAAGTAAAGGTGTGCAGAACCTTCTTTCATGGTGGATATAGCCAAGATGTGTCCAGAAATGCAGTAGTAGGTACTGCACAACTGCCACAGTCAGCAGGATTGAGGCTAGTGGGAACATAATGCCATTGTTCAGGCATAGAGATCTTCCTTATGCGTTCTACTCTGTTGCCGACATACACGCAGAACTGTCTTGTGCGATTGTGTATATATTCAAACACTATTTTGCTGTCTGTATAAAAGTCAAAGGAGTCTATTTCAACATCTGTTTCAAGTTCTATAAGCGCAGCAATTTCCACAGCTAACACAGTGCTGCACAAAGTGCAAGCCTTGGAATAGTATGTGCAGGTTTGGGTGTGAGCTTGGTCTTGCCCATGATAAATACTACACCCAGTTCACTGCTGGGATTCCATAGCTCGAAGATAAGCCACTGCAGCAATGGCTTCAATGGAGGCATCGGAGAAGACATGAATCTCACTTCTGGTGGCATTCTTTAAGGATGCTTAGGTGTAAGAACGTGGTATCTGGAGTTGTTCTAATGCTTTTAGAGATGGTTTTCCAGGATTGCCACCTTTGTTTTTTCTCTTTGGGTAAGGGGGTATCCCAATCTGAGCTTTCAGAACTAAGTTGTCTCAGCAGTATCTTACCCTGAATGGTGAGAGGTGTAATGAAACTTAACGGATCATAAATGCTGTTCACTGTAGACAAAACTCCTCGCTTTGTGAAGGGCTTGTCACAGGCTGATGCTTGAAATGTGAATGTGTCTTGTTTAACATTCCAAAGCAATCCAAGACTGCATTGTGTAACAGAAAGGTCTGATCCTAGTTGGAATTTCTTCACACTGACAGCATGGTCATCAGACGGAAAGGCTATCATGACCTTGTCGCTGTTAGAAATGATTTTGTGCAGTCTGAGGTTTGCAGTGGCAAGCATGTTCTGGGTTCTAGTAAGAAGGTCAATAGCTTCTTTTTCATTGGGCAGAGATTTGAGTCCGTCGTCTACACAGCAATTCCTTTCGACGAACTGTCTTGCATCAGATCCAAATTCTCTCTCACCCTCTTGAGCTGTTTTCCTCAGTCCATAAAATGCTACTGCAGGAGAAGGACTGTTACTGAAAACATGTACCTTCATTCCGTAGTCTATGACTTCATCGTTGACATCATAATTAGAGATGAGCGAAGAAATGAAAAATTCGATTCGACTGATTCGGCGAATTCGTGGACAATATTTGATTCGAGTCGAATAAATTCGCTGTGAATTTAACTTAAAAAGGGTTGGTGTTTCTAGGCTTCAGAGAGACTTAATATTAGTGCAGAACACTGTACCTTTAATTGAAATGCCCTTGGAGTCTGCTGGGGAAGAGAAATAATACTGTCTGTCAGTATGACATGCAGATGAGTGCCGTCGATCTTAGAATCACTGCACACTTCACTCCTTTGGCCAGTCACGGGGCCAAAACCAGTGCAATGTGAGTCCATACAGCAACCTATGACAAAATGGAAACCAGCAGGAGCGTGAGGAGACTCAAAGTGGCACATGGCAGAGTGGGAGCAATGGGA